CTACAATATTAGCACAATTTCTTTAAATTCTGTCTTCACGCAAGGCTGGCGCATGCCAACGCCTACAATCTGTCACATTTGTGTTATATCTTAGCAAATAACACCATAACGCCTAAGATCAATCCACAAGCACACAATCACTTCGTGCTCAATATCTACTCTTCCTTTCCTCACATATAATTAATTATAAATATATTTTTATATCATGCATCTAAAAGTGTTCATAGTTCGTATGTATGTATGTATGTATGTATGTATGTATGTAATTGCATATAATATTTATTAGCTCCATATATTTTTTGGTATCTAAGAGTAACCCGCCTTACACGCTTTACAATTGCTGCCCTATGCAAGCCAAAGAAAAATCGAAAAGGTGGATAATAAAAGTAGATATTGTATATATATATATTCTCCTAATTAATAACAAAATGACAATAGTATAATTGCAGTCAATTATATACATAATTATAAAGCAAAACAGATGTTAGACAAATGAAACAATAGGTATGTGTTATTGAGCTTATTGGGGAGACAGCAGGATATTCTTGAATGATTTTTACTTTACAGGTCAATGCGCAATCGCCCACACGCATTACCGTAGCTATTGCAAATTGTTAGCGATTGATAGAGCACAACAACAACAACAGCAACAACAAGAACAAGTGAACGCGAGTGAGTGTTCAATGAAACTAAGTAATTAATGAATGAAAATTCATTAGAATGCTGAATGCAACTGAATGTTGATGAGCGCATGCTGTAGGTGAACGTGTTTACACACACAGACATGATTACGTTCAAATATTTATATTTACATGAGTGGCTAGAGGTGCGTTCTAACACTTCGCACGACCTGTGTATCGAACACCTAGTCCAAGCAACATCTAAATAAGAGCAGAGTTTTTTCTAATAGCGCTCGCACCTCGGCAGGCAATGGCAAAGCTCCGGCTGTAATTCTGGTATGAAAAAGCTTCGCATGAAATCCATTTGCCATTTGGGGGCGGCGTAATACTGTTGGTTAGATACTCCGTCTGTAACAACACCAAGACGCACGCTACAAATTGGAGGAGAAGCTCGGCCAAACACTTAGCAAAATATTATAATATTTGATTCAAACATGTGTAATAAAACATAAACAAGAAGTTTTAAGGCAGTGTCACACGATAGACCTTGACATTAAAGTTTAGAATGAGGGGCTTTTAAAATGAGAGTTGCTAGGCCTTATGGTTGCCTATAATAACAGAAAGCTATCTTCTGTGACTGTTAAGGATTCGCAAAGGAGTAAAATAGGAATAAGTAGTAAGAAAGATAGGTCGAACTTCAAAACAGTGTGCCTCAAGGTGTTTAAACTTTGATTTGCCCCGTGAAGAGAAATTATGGGTCACTTAAAATTCCAAGGTTTTCGGCGCCCATCCTTTTACATAGCAACAGACCAAATGGGGCTCGCAAGCAATATCTCTATGACCTGTAACCCAAATAAGCTTAATAACGAAGCATTTTGATGCTGACGAGAGGAATGTCTGTCAAAGTGTCAACTGCAACGATTTGGTAGCTTTAGAGGTTGATGAAGTTTTCTTGATTTTATTTATTTACTTTAATAAATGTTGTGGTTAAATATTCTCGTAAACAATGAGAATACTTTTCATGAGAATAGCAATTAAGTCTCACCGACTAATGAGTAATGAAATTTCGTATTTACTCCATGGTACGAATGAGTACAAGAATGGATTCTTACTTATTCTCATGAGAATTACTCTTACCGTTTACGCGAACCTTAAGTAATCGATGTATGGATAAAGTAATTTTTTGTAAAAAAAAAAAAAAAAAAAAAATTATTAAAATTTTGTTTTTGTACTTAGATTTACTTAGAAATTATTTTTGGTAAAAATGGAATTTTTTGTACCTTAAAAATATTATTCAACAATTTTATAATGAGCTCGAGGCCATTTTTAAATGAAAAATTTATTGTGGAAAAGCATCAACAATTTGAAAAAATGGTAGAAGTGATAGCTATTTCGGAAATCACCACATTTCCTCATCAGACTTCTTTCAGTAGGATTCGAACCGACGATCCCACTGACTCAGCCAGTTGCCTATGCACCGCGCTAAG